ACACACACATATATACACACACACACACACACATATATATACACACACACACATATATATACACACACACACATATATATACACACACACATATATACACACACACACACACACACACACATATATGACTGTTTTCTTTTTATAAGTTAATTTTGTGCTTTTGTTGCCTTTTTTATTTTTTTTTATAGCTCTAGGTCTCGGTCACGGTCAAGATCTCATTCTCCATCTTATAATCGGGACAAGAAATATTTCAGAGGATACCAGAACGACCGGGAGTTCCGGGGTTACCACCGCGGCTTCCGGAGGCCGGACAGGGGCCGAGGGTGGGGCTATTTCCCACGTGGGCGCTACCAGCGTGGTGGAAGGGGCTACAACAATAACAACTTCCGCCCCAACTGGAAGAATTTCAAGCAGTACAATCAGTACAATCAAAAACAGTATCAACAGCAGTACCAACAGCAGCAAAATAATTCACAAGGGCAATCGCACAGCCTCCAGAGACGCTCAGGAAGTTCCCCTCACGGTCGCTCTCACCAGTCTGACAGGTCCTCCTCACTGTTGTCCAGACACTCTCAGCGTTCTTCCTCCTCCTCACACTCCTCTCCTAAATGCAGGCCAGACTTATTGTTGAGTAGCCAAAACTGCAAAGATGTGAAAGTGGAGCACTCAGTCTCAAAGGAGGCCCAGAAGGAAGGAGGGGGAGATGGGGAGTCAGTGGAGCTTGCTGGGGTGTTGGAAGGTGATGTTGAAGAATTTACAGGCAGTGGGAAAACTGGGGGAAACTGGCAGGGCCCGACAGAATGCAATAGCAGTCCAAAGAAAATCAGCCCTCTGGCAAATTCTGCTGTTACTGTTGGTCAGAACAGCCAACCTACTAACCAGTCTAGTCCTGCTCCTGTAAACACAAATGACACGAGCAATGGCGCCCCCTCCTGGCAGATTCTGTGTAATTCACCCTCAACAAAAAAACCCTCAAATGAAGGTCTCGACCCAATGCTTCTCAGCTTTGACTTCTCCAGTGAGGAATTCCTGAATGGAGATAAAACGGCAATCTCCATTGCCTTCAGAAAGTAAGGCTGATTTTTTTGTTTTTTAAAAACACTTTCCAACAAGCTTTGTAGATGTACAGATACCAAGTTAACAATATTTTTAATGTTTTTTTTTTTCTTTTGATAACACTAATTTTGACATTTCCTAGGCTTTGTGAACTTTGGGTTGTTATAACAAACTAACATACGAGTCAGGGATTTAGAGGGATGCCTAATCCCTCTAAACAGCATTGTTTTTCACTCAAATTTCAGTTTGAGTGTTTATTTTGATAGTTGTGGCTTATCTGACATTTCTGCTTTAAAATCATATTTGTAGAGGTTGTAATGCAATAATCTGTGACAATCAGCTTACTCACCATTTAATTTCTGCAGCTGTTTGAAGTGGCATGCCCAATCAGACGCAGGTCTTCATCTCTTTGTCATTGTTTAGGTTTTTGGAGGAGCAAAATAAAAAAGCTAAATCTGCTTGGGAAAATGCAAAGAACACAGAAGCAAATGGTGTGGATATGGAGCAGAGGAAAGCAAATAGTCAAACATCAGCAGTTAACTCTAAAAGAATGTCAAGAAAGCTCAAAGAAGACATTGATGAAGTGTCTCTGAACAGCTTTTTGAAAAAATCTCCTTTCCTGCCTGCTGATGGGGAGCAAGAGATGGAAATCATCATCAAGCCTCATCCAAAGTCACTTCACAAAGACTGGCACAATGGGGACGAGTCCTGTAAACCAAAGAGCAAGGTCACCCACTCAGCCCAAGAACTGTTTGGCAAATGGCAGAATGCAACCTATTCACAGGTAGCCACAGGTAGTAACAGTGACCTGGACGCCATGGCAGAGGAGATCTATCTCAGTCAAAAACAAGATAAAGCAGCAACCTTTGCAGTTGTTCTCAGCAAGAGGGAGTTAGCAGGAAAGTTTGAGGAACTGTCCCCAGACATGAGTTGTAAAGCCAAGAAGAGGGCAAACTCTCCCTCAACCTCCTCTCCTACACCACCACCAAAGAGGAGCTCTGACAGAGAGAAGTTTATGGACAGGGGAGAGGACTCGCCTCTCATGTCCTCAAGAAAACAGGAAACAAAATTTAACGTCAGAATGGATTTCCTTGGAGATAGCCTGATAAGGTGAGCATCATAACAGCTGAATGATTTTTTCAGGGCTAATGATGTGATTTAAAAAAAAAAAAAAAAAAAAGAAAAGCAAGTGAGGAGGTCAGCGAAGCTCAACTGATTGAGAGAGCAAGACTCAGGAAGCACCTGTCTGTGTGGAGGGCTGAGCATTTATCTGACCCCACTCACATCAGGTGGTTTCCTTGTTTACATTATCTTCCTGCAGTCCCTGTGGCCCAGCCCCCTATTGGCTGCCCTGGGCCACTCCTTTTTCCACCACATTCTGGAGTGGATACAATTGTTTTATCTGATTCGAGGACAACATTTTAGCCCTTTTTAAAAGAACAATAAGACATTGTTGTCTTTTCAGCTCTTCAGACATTTTAGCAGAAGAGCGACAGTTGTCTCAGGACCTTGTGCAGTCCTCAAAGGATCAAGAGTTCCGTGCCATCTTTCAACATGTTCAGGCTGCTCCAGTTCAAAGGAGTCCCTCTGAGCTGTTTGCTCAACACATCGTCTCCATCGTTCACCACATTAAAGGCGAGTCCTCTGTGTCTAAGCCGTTTGATATACTGTTTGCAATTTAAATGAGTGTAATATGAACAAGTTTTTTTTAGTAAAGGAAAGCATCTATTTTTCAGAATCACAGGCCATATTGTATTGGCTTTGAGCATTAAAGTTACTCAACATATACTCATACTAACCTTCAAATCAGAGAAAGTACATCACAATTGCATTTTTTTCTGAAAAAGCGGCGTTTTGTATTGAGAGGAATGTAAAACATAACAGTAAGGGTGGCAATATGGAGTATATTTTCTGGAATATCAAACTAGGAAACTGTTTATGGACACAGTACCTGTAGAGGTATGTCTGTATTTGGTGAACTAATACTTGACACACCAGGGAACTTTATCACATTGATGCTGCTCATACTGCCACAGAGCAGTCCTCACTGATGCGCTTTATGGTCTGAAATGTCTAATAAAATCCATTTCTTATTGTTAATCCTTACAGCTCAGCACTTTGCTTCTCCTGGCACGACTCTAAACGAGCGATTCACCATGTACCAAAGACGAGCTGCAGAGAAGGAAATGATGAAGCCAAGAAAAAGCCCAGAGATACACAGGTAGAGTTGCCTATTCAGTGATCCTCTCACCTTCAGTGTTCTGTGGCTTCACCTCTTCTTTTAACAGCTTTCAGGTATTTTCCTACCTGAAATTCAGCAGGCTAATTTGTTCTCATGCTCAGTGAAGGTCAGTTTTACTTTGCCACCAGTTTTTCCCTTTTCCTTTTTCTGTTTTGCGTCGTCTTTGCAATTCAATGTAGCTCACAGTTTGTTGTGTTGGCACCTGTACTCTGGTTACCATACTACAGTACATGTCTAATTGTCTTTTTTTTTACTTTTTTCTTGCAGGAGAATTGATATTTCACCGAGTGCTTTTATGAAACACACTCTTCTTTTTGAGGCGATGAAAAGCTCAGAGGATGGCACTCACAAGGTGACTGAACATTTTGCAGTATGAAATATGTTGGAAAAACAACAGCAAACAAGTGAGCAGCGAGATGCCTTTAGACTGCACTCTTAAAGCCTGTGGCTTTCCCTGAAGGGAGATGCTTAAGGTCTAAGAAATGCAAATGCAAAATAAGGCACTTTGTTGTTATATCGCCTTCACACATGGTGAATTGGTTATACTGTGAGCACAAGCCTGACCAAGGCTAATGAATCAAATAAGGTCAGAAATGGAAGCCACTGTACCCAAGCTGTTCAAAGGACTAAGCAATTGCCTTCGTAAGTATTCTTTACAAAAATAAGGAACAGAAATAAGCAACAGCAAGCACTTCATGCACCTGTGCTTATATTTTAATGCTTCACTTTCTAAATAAAACCCTCAACAGTATTTCTTTATTGTTGTGCATGGACATATATGGTCAAGCATTTGTGAACATGAAACATAAATACTACTAAAAACAATGTTAAATTATGTAAGCTCAAATAAGCATGAACGATTGTACCTTCTTGTTCTTCACCATTTTCTAAGAACCATACTGGTGGTTTTGCATGTCCTAGTCAAATGCCTATTTACCACAAACTATTTCCCAAAGCATAAGTCAAAGGTTCTAGATTGGTTTCCCACCATCCATGCAGTTATTGCTGACAGCTGATGGTATCAGTATGGTATGGTAATCAACTTACAGTGGCATGAAACTTGTTTTAAATAGGAAATCCCCCACAGTCAGCATTCAGAGACTTGGGGTTGGTGAAACCACTTGCTTTCAGACCGTTACTTGAAGCACCTCAGTGCAGCCTTCACGTGTGTAAAATGTGGGAATCAGCTGCTGACATCTGACCAAGGATGATGTGAAATATGTTTGTGCTCTTTGTTGCCCCTGAGTAGTGGGTTCTTCACATCTCAGATTCTTGTCATGTCTTGGCATGTTCCACGAGCACTGAAACACACCACTGAGGTGGTTTTCAAAACACCCTTCTGATGGCTGGCCATGCAATAATGCAACTCTGACAAAATAAAGCTGACTTGTTTAGAGGGTTGGATCGCCTAGCTTAAGTAGGTCTTTTCAACTTGATTTTCATACCATATGAAATAGCTTCCCTGAAAGCAGAAAAATCAGTCATAAAAACATATGTTTTGATGAATGGTTTCAATTTTTAGGTAGTACACAAAACATGCAAAACTACTGGTTTGGCCCTGCACTGGAAAATTCACTCCAGAATGGCTTGGTTCTATTAATGCCAGCTGGCTATTACTTGGGTTTTCCCCACTTTCCCATGGACTTCACTATTTAAAATACAAACCAGCTTGGCTGGGCAAAGTGATAGCATCTAAGTGCTAATCCAAAGTTTGTCCACGACGCTGTGTTCTATTTTGTTTTGCTCAGGACGGTGGGGAAAAGATGAAGGGTGACTCAACAGATCTCCGTTTGGACATTGAGCGCCGTAAAAAATATTCCACCCATGAAAGAGGTTATAATCAGGATCAGGAGAGAAATATGGGAGTTTCTCCAGATCCTAGTAGAGAGAGATCTGTGGAACGGTACGCCAAAAGCCACAAAAGATCAAAGTAAGTGTAATTATGTCTACAAATATGTTGAATAGTTTGTTATAAACAGCTGGGCATGAAGGATTGAGCATGTATCATTTCTCCTTTTAGGAAAAGTAAGAAGAAGCGCTCTCGCTCAAGTTCATCCTCATCTTCTGAGTCCGAGTCCCAAAAAGATTTGTCTCATGTCAAGTCTGATTCCAATGATGAAGGCTTTAACAGGGCGCGACTGGATGAAAGAGCGTCACCAGGATCCGACAGAGGAAAGCCACATGGAGGACTTGTATGTTTATTTAATGTTATTGGATTGGTGGTGTTTTAAAAGGGATTCTCTGGGAGGAGTGTAGTTTGGAGAAATAGCTTGCCTGGTTACAATGTACATTTGACTCCAACAACTTGCTTTGTGTCAGTTACTTTGCTTTTTTTCTAATTACAGCAATTACAAATTCATGGAAGGGGCTGGAACAGAGGGAACTGTCATGGAAACAGTAACCCCGTGAGCATGGCAGTAATCCCAAAAAGTGACGACTGGGACCCAGAGTACACACCCAAGAGCAAAAAATACTACCTGGTAGGGCTTTCTTCTTCAATGCTTCCACATGCTAGTAATCTAGCTCAGGTTTGTACTTTGACACTTGTTGTCTTGACACACCTCCATCCTTTTTCCTTGCTTCTCCCAGCATGACGACAGAGATTCTGAGGCAGAGTGCAAGTGGGTGGACAATCGAGGGTGGGGACGGGGAAGCTTCCTGCGTGGAAGGGCACGATTCATCACTTGCAAAGCCACTGGGGGCTCCAACACCAGTAGCCCCAAATGGGCCCATGACAAGTTCCAGCTCAATGGCGAGCAAGTTGGCATCCAAGATGAAAATGCAGAACAGGACCGTGAAGAGGGAGAAATTGATGAAGTGAATAGTTGAGCAGGGAAACGGTCTGCTGTAAATCTTAATTTTCTTAGTTTTTCTTAGATCTGACTCGGTGATTTTAATCCACCAAATGGATCAATAAATGCAGAATAAATGTTCTGTTCAGCTTTTAGGTTTAGATTTTAGCACAGGATGCTCACTTTGACTCGACAACCATTGCCTGATGGTGTCCTTCTCTTAATAAAAAAAAAAACTCAATGGGTTGTCTGTGCAAACAGCTTATCATGACCCATGGTTAATTGTTAGGCAACCTCTAATGGCTATAGTAATTATGGCAGGAGTAAGGGTGTGATCAGAATGAGTTTCAGAAGGTGTGAAACAATACAGACCTCCCCACAGGGGGCTCTGGCAAAGCGACGCAGCCTCGTGCGACAAAAAAAAGTTGGATCAGCTTTTTCAACAATGCACAGTAACATCATCAGCAAGATGTTGCGTTGACCAATCACATAATGTAATGGGGTAATGGGGGATGCCCACAGGAAGATGACTTTTGTTTATCATGAGCATTCACTGAAATTCATTCTCAGTTTTTAGCCATAGTTATAAATGCACCATAATGACACCCCATGGATTTTTGCTAGTTATTGGGTGTTAAACAGTTTTGTTTTTGTTTGTTTTTTTCAATCCATGCCGACCCACCGGCGGTAGAAATTGGTGCTAACGTAGAGTATGTTAGCAGCATGGCTGGCTAAAACAAAACCAAAACTCACGGGTTGGAAACGTGAATGAGACTGTTCATTTCGACTCGTCACAATGTGGCTATATGGTACATGTTTATGTGACACTCCCCCTGCAAAACCCTCACCCCACCGTAACCTCACTGTGTTTCAATGCACTCAGGTTAAACCCTCAAGCTAAAGGAGGAAATCAAGCTGCAGAGGGTACAGGTTATCAGAGGACAGGGACAAAACCCTACAGTGTATATGTTCGTCTATGGTGAAGACTTCTTCTTGCTTTTCCTACATCAGGATACAGCTTGTTACCAGTAGAAGCACTGTTTCACAATGAATTGTTGTGTTCTCATGAAAGTTTTTGTTATGTTTCTTTGCTTCATTGTAAATTGAATTCTTTATTGCAGCATTCTGGTAATATTTACACTTTGCTCATTGATGTGATTGTAGAATAGCTCCTTGAAGGGTCCTGTACTTTTAGCAGCAAGAGAACATTACATTGTAATAAAAACCAGATTGTGCCTTATACAAATGTAGAAATGTCTTCTGAGTCAGAGTAGACTACTAGATAAGTCACTTTATAGGTGAATAAATTAAAATTTACTCCAATTACCATAACTATGAGGTAAAAACATTGTTTTGAACTGTGTCTTGTTTAATTAAAAATGACAACACTGTAACACTGTAGTTTATTTTGACATGAAAACATCACCATTTAAATAATTCTGCACACCACAAATGACCCTGCTATGACAACGGGACCAAATTGTATGGAGTCATAGGTTAAGTCATGCAGTCCGTAACTGTACAATCAGTCATCATCATGATCTACAATACTAGCTGGCGGCATGAGATTTTTAACTACCTATATAGTACCATTTTACATGTTCATGAAACATTTCGCTTTCTGATTTCTACTCTTGAGATTGGATAACACTTATCAATGTATAATACTGATAGTGATTTATTTTGCTCCAGAGATATTCATCTTAGTCTTTGTACCTGCCTAGGCAGGATAATGAATTAGGTTTTTCCTTTCCTGTAGATTTTGATGTGATTTTCATCTGCTGATTGCAAACTTTTCTTCATGCAAGGATGATTTAATCATTTATGTAAATTGAGTGCAACTGTGTCAACACTGATAAAACAGGTTGAAAATTAGCAATTGTTTAGTTTGTAACAGAAACAAGTTTATCTGGTGAGGATCATAAATGTTTTTTCAGTTCACATTTTTTGTGATTGTTCTTCTTAAGTCTAGGATTAGTCTCATCTCTGATTAATAATCTTTGATTAATAGCTCATGCAACTGAATGAGAATTTGTGTGCCTTGCTCTGGATGCCCTGGTCTTATTTGTACAGTACAGGCCTATCGTTTTAGATTCATGTTTAATTGTTTGAAGGTTACCTGCTTATGAAAAATAGCTTTTTCAAATAGGTGTTGTTACTGTCTTTTCTTAGACTGTAAATTAAAGAGACACTGATTTCCTTCATCATGGCTTTGATGCGTCTTTATTGTAATTTTTATAAAAAGTAATTATTTGAAAAACCACTTCCCAGCCATCATTGCAGTTGCCTCCAGTTTAACCTGCTTATGGAAAAGATCATGGGGAAAAAAAAATGGCTCCACAGCAAGACCTACAGCCATCTGCAGCAATCTACAGCATTGTGCTCTACTGAACAACAATCTTGAGAACCTAAAAGCAATGCCCAACTGCTTTTACATTTTTAGTTAACAGCCTGATTTTCTCCTCAAAACACTGCAGCAAATTCATATTATCAATAATTTCCTCAAATAATCAAATTGGTATATCTTATTACATCTGTAAGGGACCATGTAATGTACAACATTAACTATAAATATTACCATCTCCTGTACTGAGTTAGATAAAGCCAAGTTTCACAGGTCACAATTTAAACATATGCATAGTGAGAGATACACTAAATCTAGACAAATGAGGCAAGACACCACACATTCTCGCACAATAGTACATCAAAACGCAGAATTTCTAAAATGGCCCAATACAATATCTCAGGCTCTCAAGTTGGTGTTTTCCAAGTAACAAACACCCAAAGATACTTGACTACTGTAAAATAAGAAAACTGACAAAAGTTATATTTATTCTCCTTTCATACACTATATTGACTTGATAGGATTACAGTTTTTCTCTATCACTTTCATTCATTTCTCACAACAGAACTGCATTTCTCAGAACTACTCGTTCAACCGTCAGATTCTGTTGTCAGTTGTTCACATCATATCAGCAATTTCTTGTTGTTTTCATCAAATTGCAATTGCTTTTGGACAACATGCAAATGGTTCTGTACATCTGTCAGCTGTTTTTGACAATTCTTGTTGCTTTTGTCCAGCTGTGCAAAATAACTTGTCCTGGTTCTCAGCTGAAATGTCACAACCACCAAACCAATTAGTCTTTTTTTCAGGTTGGAAGTCTGTACTATCAAAATGAGTGAACATGTTCTCAGAATTGTATGTCTGTACAGATTTCTACAAAGTGTGAGTAGATGTTTGCTAAGAAATATGTCCAGAATTGAGAAATTGCTCTCAGGTGAGTCTTCACCTTCGTTAACGAAGAGAACCACCTCACAACTTCATATACTTGGATGAGGCTGGCTTCAACCTGGCCAAAGGCAGAAGGCGTGGTAGAAATCTAATCGGCCAGAGAGCTACTGTTGATGTCCCAGGCCAACGGGGAGGAAACATCACTATGTGTGCTGCTATGTCAGACCAAGGTGTGCTAGCTCATATTCCTATTATGGGACCGTACAACACACAGCATCTCCTTACATTCTTAGACAATCTCTATAGAAATGTCATTCCTGAAGAGGAGAGGGACCTCAATCAAGATGATGTACCAAAGTATGTAGTAATTTGTGATAATGTCAGTTTCCATCGCTCTGACAACATCAGGCAGTGGTTTGTCCACCACCGCAGGATGCTGATTGAATTCCTTCCACCCTACTCCCCATTCCTGAACCCAATTGAAGAGTTTTTCTCGGCTTGGCGGTGGAAGGTTTATGATCATCAGCCACATACACGGATGACACTGCTG